CAGGCGCCCGGCTGGAGACTATCTTATATGTGTCAATTGGATCCTGTTAGTTGATGTATTGTTGAATTCTTCTATATTCTTGCTAATTTTCTATTTAATAACTCTAGCAGTTGCTAAATATTTGACATTGCCAGTTATATTTGTGTTTTCTATTTTCTGATTATCTTCCCACTCTATTTTTATTTGATTTGTTTTCTAGTTATGTTGTTTTGTGCATAAATATTTTCTAGTGTCCTTTTTTCCATCTAGTAAAACTATTTGCTCTCAAGTGTACTTTTTAAAATTAATGTTTGCATGATATAGCTTTTCCTATCCCTTTGCTTTCAGTCTACATACATTATTATATTTTACGTTTTAAGTTTTTTTTAAATAGTAGGTAGATCATGGTTTTTTCCTGCTCTGTTAATCTCTACCTTTTCACTCATCTATTTAGACCATGTACTTTCATGTAATTATATGTTAGAGCTTAGATGTGCTATTTTATTACTTGCTTTCTGTCATTATATTTTTTAATTTGTTTTTTTTCTTCCCTTTCTAATAGATTACGTGAACATTTTTTAGAATCTTTTATTTCAGTGTTTTTGAGAGTATATTTTTTGCATAGCTTTATTTGATGGTTGCTGTTGTTATTATGTTTTATATATACAAATTACAGTAGTATAGTTGACGTTTGAACAATATGGGTTTGAACTCCATGGGTCAATTTATATGCAGAATTTTTTAGATAAATACAGTACAGTACCATAAGTGTATCTTATTTTATGATTTTCTTAACTTAATATTTTCTTTTCTCTAGCTTACTTTATTGTAAGAATATAATACATATAACATATAAAATGTGTGTTAATTGACTTTTTGTTATCAGTAAGGCTTCTAGTCCCCAGGTGGCTATTACTAGTTAAATTTTTGGGGAGTCAAGAGTTATATACAAGTTTTCAACTGTGGGGCAGGGGGTGGAAGTTGGCACCCCTAACCCCTCGGTTGTTCAAGAGTCAACTGTATATTGGTAACAACATTTTAGTACCTTGAGTATTTTTGCTAGTTTCTCCCACTCTGTTGCTCTTTCTTCTTTTCTGTTTTTCTAAGTTTCATAGTTAACTCCTCTCCCAAATGCTCCTTTTTTCTGTTTCATAGATGCCAGGTGCTATAGCTGAATGGTGGTGTTAGTGGAAGTCTAGGCTTCCCTCTCACCTTCTGCTGTCTCCACTAGTGAGGGAAGCCAAACGCTGCCTGTTACCCTGAGGCTAAAGTGAAAGTTCAACAGTATACTCAGTTACTGCTGATACCACCACTAAGGAGTCTTGCAGCTTGCTTTTGGTTTTGGTTGGCAGAAAGTAGACTAGGCTTCCCACTGGCTCCCAGCTAGTACCAGGAGGCATGTAGAACTCTAGGCTCTCTACTTGATTTCCATGGCACTACTGGATATGGGCTCAGTTTTTTCCATTGGATTTGGCAGGAGTAGGGTTGGCACCTGGGTGGTTCAGTTGGTTAGGCATCTGACTCTTGGTTTCGACTCAGGTCATGGTCTCAGGGTCATGGGATTGAGCCCTGTGTTGCAGAGTCTGCTTGAGATTAAATCCCTCTCCCTCTGCCCCCGCCCCCCCCCGTGTGCATGTGTGCACTCTCTTTCTTTCTCTCTCTCGCTGTCCCCCTCTCTCTCAAATAAAATAAATAAATAAAATCTTTAAAAAGAAAATAGAAGAAACCCTCGTTTTCCTGGTCATTTGGCTAGGGAAAGTAGGTTTGTTTATTTGTTTGTTTGTTTTATGGGCTCCACGTGGAGCCCAACACAGGGCTTGAACTCACAGCCTTCAGATTGAGTCACATGCTTAACTGATTGAGCCACCCAGGCACCCCATGAAAGGAGGCTTTTCTTGGCCTGTTTTCATCAGCGCCTATTGGCATTTCTGGGCTGTAGGAATCTCTGGAACTAAATCTTTGATGTATGGGAGATGAAAACAAAACTGATGACTCAGAGTAGAAAATAACCTGTTCATTTGGAAATAAATCCATTTATATGTGGTCAACAGGTTTTTGACAAAGTTACCAAGATGCATTCAGTGGGGAAAGAATAGTTTCTTCAACAAATGGTGCTTGGACAACTGGATACCCACATGCAAAAGAATGAAGTTGCACCCCTATCTAGGTATATACCTACCATATATAAAAATAACCTCCAAAAGGTGAAAGAACTACATGTTAAGAGCTAAAACCATAAAACTTTCAGGAGAAAATACATAGGTAATTTTTCATGACCTTGGATTTGGCAATTAATTCATAGGTATAACATCAAAAGAAATAAGTGAATAAATTTGGCTTCACAAAAATTTAAAACTTTTGTGTATCCAAGTATATGATCAAGACACCTACAAATGAGAGAAAATATTTGTATCCAGAATATAAAGAACTTATAGAACTCAACAACAAAATGATTATCAACCCAGTTTTTAAAATGGGCAGAGAGGCACCTGCCTCTCAGTTGGTTAAGTGTCTAACTCTTAATTTTGGCTCAGGTCATGATCTCAGGGTTGTGGGACTGAGCCCCCCCACATTAGGCTCCACGGTGAGCATGGAGCCTGCTTAAGATTCTCTCTCTCCCTCTGCCCCTCCCCCCCAAAAGAAAATAAAATAGGCAAAGAACTTGATTAGACATTTCTCCAAAGATCTACAAATGACCGATAAGCACATGAAAAGAATCCTCAATATCATTAGTTTTTATGGAAATGCAAATTAAGACCACATTGAAGTACTACTTCATACCTACTGGGATGGCTTTAATCAAAAGAATAAAGAATAACACATGTTGACAAGAATTTAGAGAAATTGGAATTTCACACATTGCTGGTAGGCATGTAAATTGCTACAGCTGCTATCGTCAGGAGTTTGATGGTACCTCAGAAAGTTAAACATAATTTCCATATGATCCATCAATTCCACTTTGTACCTACCCCAAAGAATTGAAAACAGTGTTCTTGGTAGCATGATTCACGGTACCCAAAAAGTGGAAACAATCCAAATGCCATCAACTGAAAAATTGTGATATATCCATATAATGGAGTATTATTTAACCATTACAAAAGGGAAACTAAGGGTGAATACAACATGGATAAACCTTGGAAACAGTATGCTAAGTGAAAGAAGCTACACACAAAAGGTTACATATGTTTGGTTCCATTTATATGAAATGTCCATAATAGATAAATCCATAAAGACAGGAAGCACATTAGTGGTTGCCAGGCGGTGGGGAGGGATACTCTTTAATGGGAATGGTATTTTTTTGGCATGATGAAAATGTTTTGGAACTAGATAGAAGTGATGCTCGCACAGTATTGTCAGTGTACTAAATGCCACTAATTTGTACAAAATGGTTGGTTTTAGATTATGTGAATTTTACCTCAATGAAAAGGAATGGAAAGAAGGGTGGCTCAGTCATTGAGCGTCTGCCTTTGGCTTAGGTCAAGATCCCAGAGTCCTGGAATTGAGCCCCATGTCGGGCTTCCTGCTCAGCAGGAGGCCTGCTTCTCTCTCTCCCACTCCCCCCTGCTTGTGTTGCCTCACTTGATGTGTCTCTCTCTGTCAAATAAATACATAAAATCTTAAAATAAATAAATAAAATAAATGGAAAGAAAAAAGGAGTTCCTTAGCCAGGCTTCCACTTTCTTTTCACCTTTCAGAGTTTTCTTATTTTTAATGTTTTTTGTTTCTTTGTTTCACTTAGCTGGAGGTATAGGGAGTAGATTTCTCCCTACTCCATCTTGTCTCTAGAAGAATACGTTAGACTCACCTTAGTAGCTTTTTAAAATACTAATGCTTCATCTCCATCCTGGACTAATTTAATGAGAATGGGAGAAGGGTGGGGGGGAAGGTAAGTTGCGTCAGTATAAAAGATATTTACATGTTATTCGAATGACAACTACCATTGTGAAGCACTCTTTGAAGCGCATATTTTCTGCCACTGATGAGTTTTGCAAGTAGCTTTTTTTTCTTTTATATATATTTTTTATTATGTTCAGTTAGCCAACATATAGTATATCATTAGTTTTTTTTAAATTTTATTTTATTATGTTATGTTAATCACCATACATTACATCAGCCTGGCCAATAAAACATGAAGGAAAGTTCTTTGTAAGATAACGTTACAAAGAAGGTTGTTTTTTTGTACATTGTCATGTATTGGTATGAATTTTGAAATTGCTGTGACCATCTTGTTAACAGCCTACAAAGACAGTTAATACCAGGAATGCATCACTCTTCAGTCATAATTTAAATGGAATAATAAAGACAATAAGATACATGATAAAGATATATGCATGAGTTAATGTGGCAATAATATACAATTACAAAAATATGGTGATAATAGCCTGAAAGCAGAATCCATTTCAATCAAAGGTTTTCCTTAATGCCATTTATTTATCTTTTTTATTATTATTATTTTAGAGAGTGGGGGCGAGAGAGAGAGAGAGAGAAAGAAAGAAAGAGAGTTGGGGGAAAGGGGCAGAGGGAGAGGGAGAGAGAGAATCTTAAGCAGGCTCCACACCCAGCACAGAGCCTGAAGCGGGGCTAAGTCTCACAACCCTGAGATCATAACCTGAGACAAAATCAAGAGTCAGATGCTTAACTAACTAAGCCAACCAGGCAGGCACCCCAATGTCATCATATTTATTATATTGCTCTCTACACCATCTGAACTAAAGTTACACTGTGGTGTTGGTTTTTTTTTTTTTTTTAAGTTTATTTTTTTAGTAATCTCTACACCCAATGTGGGTCTCAAACTTATGACCCAGAGATCAAGAGTTGCATACTCCACCGACTGAGCCAGCCAGGATCCCCAAGTCAGACTGATTTTTAAGTAGTATATAACATGTAAACTCTTTATCCCTAATCAAGTCATTGTTGTGGAAACCGTTGTCAATTTAATAGAAGCGGACAAAAGTTCAGGAGCTCAAAAATCTGAAAGTATATTGCCTACCAGTTTTGATTTCCTTTTATTTTTCTTCTAGAAACATGATCAGGGGCAAGTTCTGTTGGATATAGTCTTCAAGCATCTTGATTTGACTGAGCGTGACTATTTTGGTTTACAGTTGGCTGACGATTCCACAGACAACCCAGTAAGTTTAAGCTGTTGTATTTTGTTTCATTTCACTTTTTCTCTCTGTTCATAATATAAAGTTCTTTCCGATTTATAATGTTTACTAATCTGATTAGTGAGGAGTTTTTTTAAAAGGATTTAATTAGAATGATTACAGGTAATTCTTTTGCCTTTGTTCGTCATTTTCTTGATGTTTTAATTTGTAAAGTTTTTTCCTTAAGGTTTTCATAATTATAAGTCAGTTTAAATCTAGTGCCAGTTTCCTCATTATGTGTCTCAAAAACTGAGATGTAAATCTAATTCATGATACTTGACTGAAAGAGAAAACTGGGCATAAAGGTTAAAATATTAATGCAGTATTAAAATATTGAAGTAAAATATTTAAAAATGTTAATGTATCTTAGTCTTACATAAATTAGCCTCCATTAAAATGAAATCTTTTTTTTTGTGGCATTCATGGCAATCTTTTTTTTTTTTTTTTTAAAGATTTAATTTATTTATTTGACAGAGAGAGACACAGCGAGAGAGGGAACACAAGCAGGGGGAGTGGGAGAGGGAGAAGCAGGCTTCCCGCAGAGCAGGGAGCCTGATGCAGGGCTTGATCCCAGGACCCTGGGATCATGACCCGAGCCGAAGGCAGACGCTAAACGACTGAGCCACCCAGGCGCCCCAGTGGCAATCTGTTTCTAACTAAAATTCTTAATTTGTTAGATGTAAATTTTCCAAGTAGGAAGATTCAAAGGAGACCCTCCCAAATGAGATAGAGATTAAATATCACAGCTCTAAATTTCTTAGGCATTAAGTTATTTAGATTGTCACTAATTCTTTAATAGTTGGAATCATGATTGTTTTTGTTGGAAAAAATCACATTACAGACATAGAAGATAGCATGTGATGAGTAACAGAAATGTTGAATTCTTTGAACATTTATATGCTTATACAGATAGGGCCTTTTACAAAAGAATATGGTACTCTTCTTGAGTAGTACAGGAGAAGGGCTATTTTGAAGGAGACCTTTTGTATATATAGTTTAGAAAATTGGCATCAGTGCTTTAAAATCAGTTTGTAAGGGCATATTAATAAAATGGCTGTAGAAAATAAACTCTTATGTGGAAAGTAAGTTTCTCTCTATCTCTTGTTCTGTCTCTCTCATAGTCGGAATCCTAGGTTTCTGAATGAATGGTTAACGGGAAGTAAATATGAGATGTTAAGTATTACTTTTTCTTGGCATCATTTACTGGTTTTGTATGAAAAACTGAGGATGATGTGGATAAAAGAAAGCAAGAGCCAGCTAGTCTTAGTGCAAAGAAGTCCTTTTGTACTGAACTGAAATAAAAACAAATTTTCCCTATAAGTTGATGCCTTCACCAGGGGCTAGAGCTTCTACACGGGCCTAGAGCAGGAATATTATTTCTTGATGAATAAACAAATGTGAAAATGGAAGTAAGTAGAAATGTCAGTGATGCAGTCTTTCCCAGAAAGTTAAATTGTGAACCAGGCAAATTCCCCAAAGGTGTCTGCTATACCTCACTTAGTGCAACATTGAGCTAAAAAAAAAAAAATTCTTAGATTATCTTGCTGACAGTTCTAGGCCCAACCCTCTAGCTGGAAGCCTATCTATAGATTGATCAGAGAAGTGATAAGACAACAAAGAGCAGCTACTCACCACCATTGTCTCTGCCATGAGTGTGAAAAACCATTACTTGTGACACAATATTCTAGAAGGGCTAATACTGAGATCACATATATTATAAGAGATAAGAAATCCTGTTACATAATTTGTATACAGGAAGACATTTTTATTCTAAGGCAGTTACAGCAGGATGAATATGGGGAAGCAGAGGTATTTTTAGCTGGGTTGATCTTTTTGCAGTCCCCTGCTTTTTCTTATTTTGTCTTACTTTTCTATCTTGAGCTTTCCTTCCCAAATAAGATATATTCCTAGGTCCAAGGGTCCAATTGCTAATGATCTAAAATAATTCTTCCCCAAAATTTAGAATTAAAATTTCAAGGACCCAGAAGAAGCCTTAGAAATTATCTTGTCTAACACCCTATTTTTCTTTTTTTTTTAAGATTTTTTTTTTTAATTCATTTATTTGAGAGAGAGAGAGAAACAGCATGAGAGGGGAGAGGGTCAGAGGGAGAAGCAGGCTCCCCGCTGAGCCGGGAGCCCGATGTGGGACTCGATCCCAGGACTCTGGGATCATGACCTGAGCCGAAGGCAGTTGCCCAACCAACTGAGCCACACAGGCACCCCTAACACCCTATTTTTCATGAGAAATTATCCCAATCCAATGGGATAAAGCCCAAGTTACTTGCTCACATTAATGAAACTAGTCTTGGGTCTCACAGCTCCCCATGTAGGTCTTTCCCACAGTACTACAATTTCAGTATTTATTTTTTTTTTTTTTTAAAGATTTTATTTATTTATTTGAGAGAGAGAATGAGAGACAGAGAGCACGAGAGGGAAGAGGGTCAGAGGGAGAAGCAGACCCCCCGCTGAGCAGGGAGCCCGATGTGTGGCTCGATCCAGGGACTCCAGGATCATGACCTAAGCCGAAGGCAGTCGCTTAACCAACTGAGCCACCCAGGCGCCCTACAATTTCAGTATTTAAATATTCAGAAGAATCTGTGAAATGCCAAAATGCCATGGAAGGGCCCGTAGACAGCACAAATGTTGTAAGTTATGTCCTGTTTCTGATTGTCAATATGAAAATACATCAAGACTCTGAGGATAATTAATGGACTGACATGCCATTCTGAAAAAGAGAAAGGAGTAAGGGGCTAAAATTTATAAAACATCTATTATGGACTTGTTTATAAACCAAATTCTCAATTTTATGAATGTATCATTAAAATATTTTTAGGATGGAAAACAGACTTAAAAAACTTGTCTAATGACGTAGATAATTAAGTAGCTGAGAAAGGATTTGAACTTGCATCTGGCACCAAAGTGTATACTCTCCCTACCACAATATACTGCTTCTCAAGAGATGATGATATATAGATGCACAGGAGTTATAAAAATGAACATGTTGAGGAGAGGAGGTATCCATGCAATAAAATTGCCAGCATAGATCAAAAAGAATTTGGTTATTTCTGTAAGAATTAATCCTTGTCAGTCCTTAGTTCAGATTTTTTCCATTTCACTGTTTAGTTAATATATACCTGTATATATGTATGTATATATTTTTAAAGATTTTATTTATTTTTTTGAGAGAGAGCAAGAGAGGGAGAGAGAGCACAGAGAGAGAGGTAGAGGGAGAAGCAGACTCCCCACCAAGCAGAGAGCCTAATGTAGGGCTCAATACCAGGACCCCGAGATCATGACCTGAGCCGAAGGCAGACACTTAACCGACTGAGCCACCCAGGTGCCCCTGTATAAATGTGTGTGTGTGTATATATATATATATACATATTAGGTATATATGTATGTGTTGTGTGTGTGTGTGTGTGTGTGTGTGTGCGCGCATAATAGTTTTAGAGGATAAGAGCTAATGTTCCCTTAGGCACATAAACATTGAAATTAATTTAATTGGATTTATAATTGATAAACTTAAAAAGCACCAAATGTTTTATTGTGAACTTGTACATAACAAATATGGACTCACAGTAGGTTATCCTTTTCTTTACAATCTTCCTGGGTAAGGAGTTCCAGTATAACAAACAAAATTACTTAAAAGCTTTGTCTTTTCAAAATTTCTTGTTTCCATTAAAACCTATTTATCACAGCTTTAGCTCTTAGCATAATGGATGGTTTAATAGTAGTAGTCAGTGAATGTTTATCGAGTGCGCAAAATAATGAGTAATGTGGTTACAATTCATTATGCATAATTTCTTTATAAGCACTTAAAGTGGCTCTTCCTTATTGGCCTTTATCAGGATGATATTCATTGGAACCCTCCAATTACATTATTCATGTGCGTTTATTTTTTTTGTTTTTTTTGGGTTTTTGTCCCTAAAGTGACTTAGTGTCCATTAGTGTGGGACAAAGAGTAGATTTATCAACTGTTGTTGACTTGTTCTTTCTACAGTTTCATCCTTCTGATACTTTGTGTTGTGGTTAGGATCTTTTACTGTTTACTACCATTTCTATATTCCTTAACCTTGTGGCTTTCAAACCTAACATATCACAATCACCTGGATACTTCTTAAAATACAGATTTCTGGGCCCTATGCCTAGAGTTTTTGATTCAGAAAGTCTGGTGTGAAGCTCAATAATTTACATTGCAAATAAGTTCCGCTTATAATAATGCTGCTAGTCCAAGGAATCATATTTTGAAAATCACTGCTCTAACCCAATAGGCTAACTAAGATTACTGAAGTAAGAAAAAATTCATACCGAATAGCTTGTTCTCTTTTTTGGAGATTCTTTTTACACACTCAAAATTCTTGAATTCATTGGGTTTGAGAAACTATAGGAAAAGTCACATAGAGGATGACTCTTATTTCAACAAGCTGCATTTTAGGACAATATGATTGCTAAAATGTTATCTCATATATCTCAGTATATCTCATATTTTATATTTCATCTGTTTTACTGTAATATCTTAGGCTTTTACTACCTATTGTATAAACCTCTTTGGTAGTCTGCCGAATGTTGGATTTTTTTTCTGGTCTCTTTTAACCCTGTTCCATTTTGGGAGGGAATGACAGATTTGGGGTGCAGAAAAGTGTTTCAGAGACAATCAGCATCATTTGTAATGTTCCAGAATGAGGATGAGGAATGTTGTATTTGAGGAACTGAAAGAAAATTTTAATAATCAGTGGAATATAGAGCAAGGGGAGAATGTGGGTCTAAAATGAAGTTTGGATAGTATGCCAGATTATGAAATACTTTTTAATCTGTAACATTGTACTCACCTAAATGTTTATTTATACAAGTTACATAAGACTTGTGTTTTAGACATACCACCCTGGTTACAGTGGCATATAGAATTGCAAACTGAAGATTTTGGGAGATTGGAGCCTCTTGGCATCAGAAAGCAAGGGAAAGAGTATCTTTGTTAATCCAATTTC